GTTTCTCCACGTGTTTTCTCCTTTATCGGGTTGGAAAACATTTTGCAAAAATATATGAACAATAATTATCTTGTCATCTGCACAAACTACAAATGGGGCAGGTAGTCCGGATTCACGAGGAAAGTCTCCTATTGCTGCACCAGATGTCGGGCCAAACAAAACCAAGGAATCCATCGTAGTTCCTACGTTTGGTGGATTTTTTTGAGAGTCGGCTCGGCGAGGCTTTATCTTCACAGACATACTGACTCTTGATAGTGAAAGGACTAGTGGGTATACGGATAGACGATCAGACAGTACAATAGGGTAGCCAGTACTTGGGAGTTTTAGCACAAATTCAGCGGACGGTCTTGTGGGTGTGTGCAACATGCTGGGTCGGGAAAAGGTAGAGATATGGTAAACCACAGGCAAGTCATCAGACTGGGTATGGTAGTCGCAATACTGTCATCCGGAAGTCGTAATTGGGTTCGTGGAAATCCCCGTACATGAGCGTCTTGGATGAGTCGGCTAGAGTTGTTAGGGTAATGGGGATCGGTTAAGGAATCGTGAGAAAGACCAGTATGGAACAAGGATATTCTTGGGTCAATTGAAGGCATAGGATGCTTCATTGCTGCAATTCACACGAGGCAATAAGACAGCTGTATCTATATTGGGGACTCGAAATTCGAAAAAAGATCAAAAAGGTACACCACAAGTTAGATTGCCGCCTGAAATAGCAAAGAGTTAAGAGTGACTGCGATTTCTAGCTACTGTAGTGAAGCGACACTACCCGATTTCAAAAATGATAATAGATATTTAGGTGGAGATAGTGGGGCATGGCGATGTGCGGTCGGTGTGAACGAGTGTGGCCATATGCGAATATGAAGGGCGGACATAAGCTAAATGACTAAAGTCATAGCTAGTTCCAAAATGAACTGCATCAGAGGCGTCACACGGCGTGCATTTACTGAGTCTCTGTTAACCTACACACGACAGTACTTTTTTATTACTATGCTATAATTGGTGTTTTAGATTTATAAGAGAATGCATCAGAATGCATGCTACAACCAGGACAAGCTTGAGCCAGCGGCACAGGTGTTCGACAAAAGCTGCCTTCTTTTTAGTTTTCTGTGTATGCTGTTGATGATATTGGTAAGTTTAGTGGCGGGCCAATCGTGCTAACTACAAAGTTGGTAACATCACTAACGGCAGGAATGGGAAGTTGACAGGGATGAGTTGTAGTACACGAAGGTTTGTGGAGCGTGTGTTCAGGGTTGACCGAAGTGTACTTAAGATTGTGGGTATAGGGTTGAGAGGAAAAGAGGCCTGAATCCATGAAAGAAGGTGGAGCATAAGGGTAGGGAAGTTTTTTAGGAGTGATGCAACTAGTTGAGGTAAGAGACGTCAAATCGTCGAGGGCCAGAAGAGGATGACATGGAACAGAAAGAGTTCGTGGACGGGTCGCGGACGGAAATACTGACAAGGTAGGACAAATGTGGATGGGCAGGCAAGGCACACTGAGATAAATGGATGATGAGGAGTTAGGGTCAATGGACTGTTCAGAGGACAAAGACGGGAGCGGCGGCTTTGTGGCGGTGTGTTGCTTGGATGTGGGTTGGAAGATATTTGTTCGGGAGCGACGCCGCGCAGTAAACCTTGCAGTCCTCAGCCAGAACATCATCATTATCAGATCGCATCAGCAGTTGTCTTAGTCACCTATGTATTCGGATAGTATAGACATGATTGTGAAAGTGAAGAAGGGTGGCAATACATCGGCCTGAATGATGAGTTGGATAGGCACAAACCTGTATGACAGACACAGCTGTATGACAGGCCAAGAAAAGGACGGTTTCGGAGCGTTGGGTGTGTCTGGGATGTGGAGGCATCGGTTTACAAACGCAAGCATGGGAGCTGATAGAGGGTGTCAAAAGAACCGAGCTCCTAGTTGGCGAGGGCACTACTGTGGTTTAGTATGGGATGGATCCAAGCTAATATAGGGACAACGAAACAGTTGTTTCTATTAAGCTACAGAATATCGGTAGAAGGAAGCAGAATTGAAGTTGTGATGTAGTGTTCCCAAGGAGCGGATTTGGCACCAAGCTTCCACCCACACACTAGATAGTCGCTACGATTAAATTCTAAATCTAGACCTCAAGTCTGTACCACTTGGCTGCTGGATTAGGCCATATTACATAATCGAGGCCTCAAAATCAGCGACACGCATAGATGCGGGTCTAGCGGTTACGCTAAGTAGCCAAGGTAAGCGAAAACATGTACAATTATTATGATGAAAGGCAATGGCTAGACTTAGTACGTGACCATTTCGGCGTATTCGAGCTCAGTGGCGTCATGCCTTCCTATGAGGGACAGCTCTCGCATCCACATCTATGAAAATGCTGCATTATCTCCTGACTAGCCGCGCATAACTGAGAATGAGGATCATTCACAGAGATACGTATTTCCACCAACACTACACAATGCATCAAGTTATCTTCGGTAAGTATACTACACGCAAGCCAACAGTGTTGTACCGATATTCGGCGAACAAACACATCTGATTTGTTATATCTAACAAGTTCAACGGATCCAAGCGTCATTCAAGTACCGACTTGGATGCAATTTACATAGGAAAGTTTGTGAATGCTATATCCCATTTGAAGAAAACCATGGACCGTTAAAATATGTTGCGATTTAATTTCGTGCTTTATCTCGTAAACTGGTGATCACATTCGAATCGGCGGCAGTCAGTGATCCTGAAAGTTCGCTCACTTAAACACAAAGATATGAGCAACATATCACCGATCAGCTGGTTAACTCCGACTTCGTTTATCTGGTTATTCGATCGACTGATTCCATCTGATTGCACGATAGGTGTTCGAAACAGTGCAAACAAGACTGCAGCACTGAACACCATTTAGTCTCAGCCGTACCGGACTTGACCACATGCACTCGAAATACTCGACTGAAAAGAGGACGGTGCCGTTGGCGCCTGTCATCATTTACGATATTTTATTAGAAGCATGTCTGGCCTTTCACAAAACCGGTCCAAATCACGCGCAGCCTTCCATCACGGTGCTTACGGCCACTAAGCGGATTTTTGGAATCCAGGTCACTTTAGTGCGGAAACTGCTACTGACGGTGGTTTTTCAAAGTATTCAACGCACTGCCGAGACAAACAGACAAACAAAATCATGAAGCCAACAGGATTCCACGACATTTTGGAGACCAGTGACTGTATATTCCACTTGCCTGACCTGATATGGGTCATGACGTTTAAATCTGCGTAAAACAATACCAACAGAGACTATGTTTAAAGCACTAATCAGCTGACTTCAATGAAGATTTGAAATCGTAGTTACGTGGGCCTCGATGCTGGGTTGCTAAAGCTGCTTGCCAAGGGTGTGTCCATCGACTGCAAATGTCTGCTAGAATCCACATCTGATAGTAGAGCAGCCGGAAGAGACTCCAGGTGATTCTGGTAAATTATTTTAATATCCGCATCAGCTAGTCTTTCAGTTGCCAAGCGGTTTGTTCGCACATTACACGGTCCCGGAAAACGAAGGGAGAATCGACTCCGGATGAGCGCCTGGTCGGGAACCATATGTGTTCCAAAAAACGTGCGGTAGTCAGTGATTGATACAAGCCGTCGGTAGCTGATAGAGATGTGATCAATTCGGGTTCGTGGTTGCCACGTCGTTGGAGGACACTAAGTATCCACACGACTTCGGTTATTTCGGTGGAACTGTATAAAATCAGCCAGCGTTCAGCACATAGCTAGAGTACTTGATCCCCGTTGTCCGTACGTACCCAGTCCAATCCACGTCAACCAGCTATCACAGTGAATCTTAGGTGCGCTGAGTTTGGTCACTTGTGCATCCAGATCTCCGGCAACATACACGACATTTGAGCTTTTAGCTAGCCATGACAGGACATTCAAGTCATGAGAACGAAGAAGGTAGCGAACAAAGCTTGTTTTCTGTGATTATTCATCTTGGCTAATACATCTAAAGTGTAGCCCCGATCTTAACTTTTTCCACGTGATTTCTGCTACCATATAAATTTGTGATGTATTAGCCAAGATGAACAATCACAGAAAACAAGTTTTGTTCGCTACCTTCTTCGTTCTCATGACTGCAATGGGTATATTTAGCCGCCTGAGACATTCAAGTCGTCATAAAACCCGTCTTTGATGGTTTTGGCGTAAGCATCTGTCTAGGTATGTGTGCGAATCCTTCATGGACGTTGCCAGACGAAGCGCACGTAGACGACTACTAACGGGTAACTTGTGACGACACCAAAGCCTGCACATCCTGTCCAGCAGTCTCTGCATTGCCAGGGGTGCGCAACTGGAAACAATTGGAGAGCGATTGGACAATGCTGCGCATCCTGAATTATTGTGTCGGGTACGCACTACATATCAATGTCAAGCGTGTCCAGTGTGACAGCAAGAGCAAGGTTGTTGGCCCGCTTGCCTCAGAGTACGAACATTAAAATCAGCCAGATAGACCGAGTGTCGAGGGTTTCGATATTGTGTTGATCAGCCTTCTATCCATTGACCAACCTGGTGTGAGTGACTGAGAGTGTCATACACGCCCCAGTATATCTTAACGGACCACAAAGGCACACAAACCGTCAAACCACGGTGAGGTCCAGTTCCTTGGTGACGAACGTAGCATTCGCTTTCCCATCGACCAATCAAGGGGGTGTCTGTGACAACATGCGGATATCATCGTGTGATTTCACTCGAGGAGATCATTCATGTATCGGTACACAACTGAAGCGAGTATCCGCGGTTGCCAGCACACCGGGTTCCGGTGAACAAATGTCGCACTGCATGTGGTTACAATGAAAAACACCATCGGGTGTCAATCAGTAACGTACAAGAACGCACCAATTGATAAGTCTCCCGGGTAGATTTGGACTACTGGTACTAAAGCAGTCGCCAACTTAGAACAGTGAACAGGAGAGAAAAATTACTGCCCCAGTCCACAGCTGATGAGGCAGCAGCGGACAAAGCCACTTACCTGACCACAATAATTCAAATTCAGAAGAATAAGGCCATGGCAACGCTCTGCCAGTTGTTGAACACCGCGGCTGGTAATCTCACGACAACCAACAGCGCGAAACCGTTGTAAGCCTTTACAACCGCGTGCGATGGCTGTTAGGCCACGATCACCGACGGCGCACCACGACACATCCAATACCGTCAGATTGGAACACCAGCTGATATAAGAGCAAAAGAAAAGAGACTGAAAATAGGCAGCTGTCAGTTCAGCGTCCAGTCAATTTAATTAGGTCTCACATTCTCGAGGCAGCCCATAGCCATCTAGAACTGTGCTACCAAAATATATTTTGAAACCACACAGCAGTACTCGATATCAACCATCCGACCGAAAACGAAGTGCAGCAGGAGGATACTGTCCAAAGCCTTTATTATCACCTGATAGAAAAACAAAACAAAACACTGATTCAAGAGTTTTCCTTTTTGGGGATGGTGGTGACAGCACAAAAATATGCTATGGGAAGAACTGTTGTTTAGTTTCCTAACTTATTAATTTTAACGTATTCGAGAACTACTAAAAGTGGTCGCCAGGTTTCAATCAAAGAATCTTATCAGTTCTGAGATTGCGCTTGCATGTGTGTGTGTACACAACTGGAGCAAGTGACTCGCAGTAGGGATCAGGTTACAGACAACAGGAAATAAATAGACTGATATGAATCTAAGTGGTTTACCAATCAATGAATAGTTGGTAGCAGTCACAGACTGGTGCTAACGTGCAAAATGGAGGTTCTCCTTAAAAAGAGATTCCATTGATCTAGCTGATAGCGGAAAAAGCATAATAGAGTGAAGCATCTGCCTCAGACGAGAAGAGGAAATAATGCCGAAAACAATTTAAAAAAACTAACAACGGTTGGGTTTGGAAAAGCAGAGAGAGAGGGAGGGAAAGAGATAAGGAGAAAGGGTAGGGTAAAAATCCCGAGACCACATACGAGTGATCCTCATCTGAGTTGATGAACTGCGTTTGCACAATGTGACCAGATTTGGGCAACACACAAG